TAGAATAGAATAGAATAGAATAGAATAGAATAGAATAGAATAGAATAGAATAGAATAGAATACTTTATTGGCCAAGTGTGATTGGACACACGAGGAATTTGTCTTGATGTACATACTCTCAGTATACATAAAGAAAAGATACATTTGTTAAGAATCAAGAATCATGACATACAACACTTAATGATAGTCATAGGGTACAATCAACAATCAAATCATACTAGGAAACAGTATAAATCGTAAGGACACAAGTGACAAAGTTACAGTCATACAATCACAAGAGGGAGTGGATGGGTGATAAGGAGTGATGAGAAGATTAACAGTAATAGTAGTACACACTTTGTAAATAGTTGGACAGTGTTAAGGGAATTATTTGTTTAGCAGAATGATGGCTTTCATGAAAAAAACTGTTCTTGTGTCTAGTTGTTCTGGTGTGCAGTGCTCTATAGCGTTGTTTTGAGGGAAGGAGTTGAAATAGTTTATGCCCGGGATGTGAGGGGTCTGTAAATATTTCCACAGCCCTCTTTTTGACTCGTGCAGTATACAGGTCCTCGATGGAAGGCAGGTGGGTCGTAATTGTTTTTTCTGCAGTCCTAATTATCCTCTGAAGTCTGTGTCTGTCCTGTTGGGTTGCAGAACCAAACCAGACAGTTATAGAGGTAGAGATGATAGACTCAATAATTCCTCTGTACTACTGTATCAGCAGCTCCTTGGGCAGTTTGAGCTTTCCGAATTGGTGCAGAAAGACCATTCTTTGTTGTGCTTTTTTGATGATGTTTTTGATGTCCATTTTTTGGTGTCCATTTCAGGTCATGTGATATAGTAGAACCTAGAAATTTGAAGGTCTCTACTATTGATACTGTGTTGTCTAGTATTGTAAGAGGTGGTAGTATGGGAGAGTTTCTCCTAAAGTCTACCACCATTTCTACGGTTTTGAGTATGTTCAGTTCCAGATTGTTCCGGTTATACCACAAGGCAAGTTGTATAACCTTCTGTCTGTATGCAGATTCATCGTTGTCTCGAATGAGACCAATCACTGTTATGTTCCTACTTCCGTCAACCAGTATCAGGCAAGAACTGCTGAAGAGTCATAGAGAATATTGGTAGGAAAAAATCCTGCCAATGGGAAGGCAGAAACTGGAGTAGGAACACTGGTATGAACCATACTGGGCAAATGAGTTCCATTGCAGGGGTGTCAAACTCGCAATAACATAGCTTCACATGACCTATCGCAACTTCCCCCCTTTGTTAAACCAGGGGTGGGCATGGCCAGCGCGTGATGCATCCGGTCGCAAATTTTGTCATGTTAAATTCTATTGCATGCTAAAACTCGGTAGATGTAGATTGTTTAGTATACTGGGGTGGGGGGGGGTTTACTTCATATTTTCTTAAATTTCAAATGAAGGTAAGATTATATTTTTAAAAATCTTAAATTATTTTGCCTAGACATGGGGCTTAGAAAAAATATTGTTTCCCATCTTCTTGTCCCAGAGGTGCTTTTTTTTTCAAGAGGCAACTGGATTTTTTTTTAAGTACCTTCTTCAAAAGAAACTTTTGATAAGAAGAAAAACATCTTCAAAGGAAATCAGAAAGTCCAGTTGTCTCTTGAAAAAAAGCACCTTTGGGACAACCATGACCTGGATGACTGAGAATCTCCATAAATATTCCCATCCTCTTCTTCATTAGTGAAAGTGGTGCTTTATCCCAGGTTAACATAAGAGGTGTGGCTTTGTTCCGTTGTACTGACAAATCATGTGTTGCTTTTACTAGAAGATAACTAATACTTTATCCCTTCCTCCTCCCCCATCTCTCAAAGTTCTTCGATGAGTGGAAGGCTGGGATGCAGAGAAAAATATAGATAAGATTTCTTTTTATGGGAAAGAATATTGGAATAAGTGTGAATGTAAACAATAGATGGTCCATCTAATACCAATAGCACTTGTACTAAATTACAGTGAAAAGAATTTTTCTCAGTCTGAGAAATGTAACAGTTGGCCCTCTTGTTCCATCACATATATTAGAGCAGCAGCCAAATGAATGAAACTGAAGTATGGATATCTGGAAGCCTCCAATATGATTGTTCTCTGGGTCAATATTCTTTGACCAAAGTCTTCATAGTTATCCTACCCTTTCAAAAGAAAGTTTATGACATACAGTAATGAGTGAATGGACAATGAGATTATTCAACAAATCATACAAATGAACCATGAGTTAGCATGATATTTAAGTCGTGGATTGAATGAACAATTATTGATTTTTTAAGCAATTATGTAAAGTGATTGAATTGGTTTATAAAGAAAAGGAAATACATTTTTAAATAGCACCATAAATAGACTTTTGTAGTTTTATTTTGTTTGGTAGTATTTCTTTCCTGTAATACTTGATGCCCCACAATTTATTAGGTTGGAAAAGTAGTGTTTATAGACAGATTTAGTAACTCATACGTTATCAAATTTGGCTCTAGTTCAAAGATTTTTTACTCACTTTTTTCCAATTAACTGTTTTTAGAAATTACATTTTGGAAGCATTGGAATGTAACATAAATATTTTTGTTGAATATTTGACATCTTTTTGCTGTTATTAATGACAAGAATTTATGTTTGGGTTTGTTAATCTGAGACGATGATTAGGTTTATGGTACTTGTATATAATCGTATATGCCCCACTATACTGTGGCAATAAAAAACATGTCTGTTGATAATATCTGGCAATAAGTTTTTGCCACAACTTGTATTAATCTTATTTATATGTTATACCTTTATTGTTCTCTCAAGTACAACAAACCACATTTTTTTGATTTGTCAGATAGAATAATATTTAAGGAAAATATATTTGTAATAACTTTAATTTTCATTTACAGGTGTAGAGATGCAGGAAGGCATCCGTTTTGCTTCTTCAGGAGATGATGATGTTAAAATATGGGATTCGTCTTCTATAACTGTTGTGGACCAGTTTAGTCCCCATGCATCTTCACACCCAGTTAATTCAGTATGCTGGGGTAGCAACAGTATCCTTTGTTGTTTCAGTATCTGAAACTGTATTTCTGTATAGTATGCTTGTTAATAGCAGTTGTCCTAATTGTCTATTTATGACACCTCAGATCCAAATATGGTATTCAAAATTCTTTCTACGGGAAATTCCATATCTCAGTTGTTGCCCAGCTTTCCCCCCCCCCCCCCCCCCCCCCCCGTTATAAATATCTGAAAATGCAAGCAAGATAAACAAAAAACAAAAGAAAAAGATATTTAAAAGCTGTATAAAAACTAAGAATTTTTGAGAAAGAATTAGATTAATGCCACATGTAAAAGTGATTTATATCAATTTGACATGTTGAAACCATTATTAAAATCACAACAAAGCCAGTAATTAGCAAAGGCAACTAACCTAATAAGAATCATCAATCATAATAAACAATTGGAGTTTCTATCTAATCTGAAAAAAAATGTGTTGCAATGAAGCAGGCAAAATCTAATATTTTAAAAAGCCTTATGTTTGGATAAACCCAAGCTTCAGATCTAATGAAAGTCGTGTGCAGAATTATAACCCATAAATGGTTTTGTGGTTAAATAAGCATAAGATTGGTTTTTAAATATAAAGTTGTTCTTCACATTGAAGCATATTGCCATTGCTATAAGGACGTTATTATGTGCCATTTCCAATAAAAAAGTAAAATATCCTAGGACTTTTATCATATACAGAGCCAATTCTACATACTTGGTAGGAATATGAGACTTAGTAATACTTAACATAAAAGGGCTGTTTAAAAAGTTGTTATTTATGTTTTTTACAATGGAGCATCTTCTAGAATTGTTGAAGTTTGTGATATTGCCACCAAATACAACCCCCCGCCACCAATGATCCAACTATTTCCTACAATTTTTTATATCAATTATCTATTTTGGCAATCAACATTGGCTAAACCTATCCATAAAAACATCAGACATGTACACTTTTCTTCAGATATTTGCAGTAAATTTGATAGTTACCTTCCATAGATATTTCCATGTTGTATGTTAATTGTCTTCTTTAAATTTAAAATTTAACCATACCATATTTGGATTGTTCTGTTCTTGAATCTTATTTTACTAACAGGTTATAAATAAGCCACAGGTATTCAGAAGTATTTTCTAGTATTTTCTGCTATAAACCTTTCTAATTCAATCAAATCTAAAGCTGAGACAATGATAGCAAGAAAAAGATACAAATAGTTTCATTGGATTTTATCAAAAATATTGTAAACATCAGCTAATTATCAAGTCTTGAATAATGATAAAATATCAAATGACATATCTTACTTTTTTTCAAAAATATAATATTTTTATAACCTTTTATAATTTTTCCATAATTTCTGGTCATTGTCATTGTCAAATCAAATCAAGTTTATTACAGTCTAAGACCAGACACCAGAACAAATAAAAACAACTCAAGGAATATTCAGTTAAAAATTCTAGAATAAAATAATAAATAACAGATAAAATCTGTATTTAAATCACAACTTGGCATCTAATCTGTCAGTTACACATGGACTAACTATATTATAATATTGATCCTTAAACTGTGAAGTCCATAGTCATTAAATACTAAAATGCAAAAGAGTAGTAATGTAGAAGAGTTTGCTACATTAGTTGCACAGAATCTAGCCACCTGTGCTGTAATCACTGTGGTCTATTCATCCTTAAGCAGCTACTGGAAAGAAGCAGTGTTGGAATGGCCAGGATACCTATTGTGTCAGCTCTGAGATCAGCTGCCACAAGAATGTGAACAATGAAAGGGGTGTGTGTGTGAGGGAGTTGAACAGTTCAAGGTTATTTAGTATGTTGCATTAAAAAATTCCAGCTGCAGTTAATTGGTTCTCGTGATTGATGAAATATAGTAAGTGGGAGGAGATAGGGTGGAAATTGTGAGACACGCTGGGAATGAGTTTCAGGTTTGAAAATTTTCCATAGACGTACCAGAGCTGTTCTTAATAAATCAATTGGAGATTATGCTTGTCTCAGAGTGATTGATTACTATGGATAATTTCTGGATGCCTAACATTTTGATGATTGGGATTATTGGTCATTGTCAAAATACATTGTATCTTTTTAAAGTAACTCTTGAAAATGTATTGTTCTCTCAATTGTGAAACGTATGTGATTAAATGCCTACTTAAAAGAGGTTTTCTTCCCAACTAAAACAATTTTGCTAAACAAAAGCACATGTTGTGTTCCATGACTCTTATTTCAGATAACTTTTTGGTAACAACGTCAGCTGTTGGTGATAAGATAGTGGTTTCAAATTGTAAAGGAAAACCAGTTCCACTCTTTGAACTAGCTGAAGGGGTAAGTAGAACAGCTTTTTTAAAGGTGGTCTTTTAGTGCATTGCTATTTATATGTACTCAAGTTCTCAAATTCCCTGGAATATTCATAATATTCCTAATAATCTATGCATTGCTAACCTGGAAGTAAACCTTCTAGATTCAGTTGATAAGATTTACAAATAAATGAATTTTATCTTAATATCTGTTCTGTGCTTCAAAAATACATAATACTTATTTAGATATTTATATAAATTCATAATCATGTTTTGGTTTTGGTTCCAGAAAGATGCTTCAGAGTATGCAAAGTCATGAATATAGCATCTGATTGCAATTCTTTATAGTAACACCTCCCTTCCAAATCATATAGCAATAATAGAAAGTAGTTGGGCCTGAAAAAATATGGCTTCTCTAAAGGGTGCATATATAGTAGGTACCACTGTTGCACTTCCAGGCACTTTTTTGTGAATAGAATTCAAAGACATATGGCAGATATATGTGTAAGACAATATAATTCACTCTCCTCTCCACCAAAATAAAAAGTAAGGGGAAAAGACCTGCAGGTCTAATCACAGAATGTTCCCAATGAAAAACAGGAAATATGATTTCTACTTGTATGTAAAAATATAATAACAGCAAAACTAATTCACAGAGATTGATCTAGAACAAAATATGGTACTCTATAATCCAAATCAAAGAAATATTGTAAACAATCCAGAAAGCAATTGTTGCTGTTTCTTAATACAGTATTCATTACTCAATGAGCACTAGTAGAGATTAAAACGCTCTTCAATTTTATCTGCTTTCTAATCTGTTCTCAACCGTTTTTAAAACAAGTCATATGTAAGATTTGTGATCACTTTTTTATTGGACATCAAACAAAGTTGCAATCTATCTAAAAGTTTCCTTGATATCTGCTGTTTTGGAACTTAGCACTTTCTGTTGTTTCTTATAATGGTAATTATAATAAATTATAGTAAATTATATAATCATAATTCCCATTATCTACAGTATATCTGTTTTTATTGACTATTATTACCTGTGGCATTAAAATAATCCTAAAATACATTAATAATGCTGTCTTCAAAAATTAAGCTGTTATTAATTATGAAATTTTATTCTCTGTTCTTGTTAAGTTCTTTCTGATAGTATCTAGAACCAATACACATTTCAGAATGAATGGTCTTTTGCCAATGGTATTCCCAAAACAATGCCTTTTATGTTACATCCACAATGGCTTAAGTTCTATAGAAAGCCATTAAGCCCAGCTCCTGGTTATGTGATTTTATTAACACAACATTGTGAAACTTGCTTTTCATTGAAAAAAATATTCTGGAGGAAGAGAATTTTCTAGTCTACAACTTAAGATTTCCTGATTGCCTCTTATCTAAGCGCTAACCACATCTGACCCTGCATAGTTTTTTAGTGATTGGCTAACACTGGCTTGGTGTTGCCGTATTATGACTCTACTCACCTACTTACAGATATTAATAATTTGAAAATGATTTGTTTCCAGCCTTGTGTACAATTATGTGATGTCTGTTTTTATAAAAGCAGAAGTGTTTCATTTGTCAAAAGGAAATGTATAATTTGCTTCAAACTTCTTTGCAGTTTGAAGGCTGCAGGGAAAAGCAATGAAAGGGAATGGATGATTATTCAGCAATATAAATTACACTGTTCATGGACCACTCAATATACATTTTAGTAGACACACTGTTATTTATTAGTTCTGTGATTTTTATTTCAGACATCCATTTTCATTTATTTAATTAAAACATTTTGATCCCTCTTTTCTATTTTAAAAAGCACCCTGAACAATTATTACTAATCAATCACATAGTACGTTGTTGAAAGAGCAGGTAATTACTATAATTCATTTTTAATCTTTCTGCTGCTAAAAGTAGTAGAATGGTTAAGGTGTTGGACTAAGTTCAGCCTCAATCACGGAAGCCTGCTAAATAGATTAGGACCAGTCACTTTTTGTCAGGCAGGTTATTCCACAGGGTTGTTGTGATGGAAAATAGAAGGAAAAAATACCGTGTATAGTTCCATAAATTCATTGAGGAAAAGCAGGATATAAATCTAATTGATGAAACTATTTAGTTGATATTAAAGGAAAAACCTCAAAATGGGCTTTCATTGGCCCCTGCTAACTTTTAATTTTGGGGTATGATGTTGGTATATTAAATTCAAACTATTGAATAAGCCATCACAATGATGTCATTTTATTTTGTCTGTCATATTTGTTGAACACTGTTTTTTTTTCATTTCATTAAAATACAAATGTCATTTATTTTAATCAGATCTATATTAGTATCTCAGATTGTATTAACTTTTTATCCTAGTTTAAAATTGATGCTGATATTATCTTGATGTTTATTTTTTTAATTTGTTGCCAACTAGACAAAGCAAACATGTATAAGCTTGAGTTCGAATTCAATGTATATTGCAAGTGGAGGAATTGATGGCACTGTTAATATCTGGGATTTAAAATATAGAAAACTTCACCGATCTCTTAAGGTAAGATACAATATTTTATTATAGACTCTTTTTGTCAGTTAATATATGAGATTAATATCACCTGTAAATATGTTTATACTCCAATCTTTAAATATCAAAATATAACTCATACCTATATTTCATATATGTTTTTGTGCTAGCAGAATAATAGCTATTTAGAAGTGGTGGTAGATATTAGACAGACTGTACAATTAAGTAATATGTAGTTATTGCAGATTGAAAGGTTGTCCACTTTCTTAAACCTAAATGATACTTTTAATTGATTTTGATACTCTTATTTTACCTGAATAAATTTCTCACATCATAGAGTGAGATAAATATAATTGTTGTGATGTGGTATAGTGTATTGAAGTGAAATAGAGTGTGTTGTTTAAGATGTTGGACTCAGACCGGAATGGAATGAAGATCCAGATTCAAGCTGATCCTCAGCCATAGAGTTCATCAGGTGACCTCTCCCATAGTGTTGCCTACTCCTCACAGTTATTATGCAGATAGAAATGAAAGGAGGGAGAGCTATTTTACATTGCCTCATTGAAAGATTTTATAAATCTTTTATAAATAAATAAAAAGCGTTTCTCAGATACACAGATAGTCCTCGACCTACAACAATTCATTTAGTGACTGTTCAAAGTCACAACAGCACTGAAAAAAGTGACATGACCATTTTTATACTTATGACTATTGCAGCATCCCCATGGTCACGTGATTTACATTCGGATGCTTGACAACTGACTCACATTTATGACGGTTGCATTGTCCCGGGGTCACATGATCACCTTTTTGTGACCTTCTGACAAGTGATGTCAATGAGGAAACCAGATTAACTTAACAACCATGTTATTCAACAACTGCAGTGATTCATTTAACAAATGTGGCAAGAAAAGATGTAAAATGGGGCAAAACTCACATAACACAATTCTCACAGTGTTCTGACCAAGGCTTCTCGAGACCGCAATTAAGCACACTGTCCGATTCCGCTGCTGTCTACACAGGCTGCCGGCAAATCACAACACTTAGCAACATGAACGTTGGGCTCGATTGTGGTTGTAAGTTGAGGACTATCTGTATTGGTATACAAGAGTGTAAGCTATTTCATTATTTATGTATAAAGTGTTCCAAGTGGTTTAATTAAAATACACTGCTCAAAAAAATAAAGGGAACACTTAAACAACGCAATGTAACTCCAAGTCAATCACACTTCTGTGAAATCAAACTGTCCACTTAGGTAGCAACACTGATTGACAATCAATTTCACATGCTGCTGTGCAAATGGAATAGACAACAGGTGGAAAGCATAGGCAGTTAGCAAGACATCCCCAATGAAGGAGTGGTTCTGCAGGTGGTGACCGCAGACCACTTCTCAGTTCCTATGCTTTCTGGCTGATGGTTTGGTCACTTTTGAATGCTGGTGGTGCTTTCACTCTAGTGGTAGCATGAAACAGAGTCTACAACCCACACAAGTGGCTCAGGTAGTGCAGCTCATCCAGGATGGCACATCAATGTTAGCTGTTGCAAGAAGGTTTGCTGTATCTGTCAGCGTAGTGTCCAGAGCATGGAGGCACTACCAGAAGACAGGCCAGTACATCAGGAGACGTGGAGGAGGCCGTAGGAGGGCAACAACCCAGCATCAGGACCACTACTACCTCTGTCTTTGTGCAAGGAGGGACAGGAGGAGCACTGCCAGAGCCCTGCAAAATGACCTCCAGCAGGCCACAAATGTGCATGTGGCTGCTCAAATGGACAGAAACAGACTCCATGAGGGTGGTATGAGGGCCCGACGTCCACAGGTGGGGGTTGTGCTTACAGCCCAACACCGTGCAGGACGTTTGGCATTTGCCAGAGAACACCAAGATTGGCAAATTCGCCACTGGCGCCCTGTGCTCTTCACAGATGAAAGCAGGTTCACACTGAGCACATGTGACAGATGTGACAGGGTCTGGAGACGCCATGGAGAACATTCTGCTGCCTTCAACATCCTCAAGCATGACCGGTTTGGCAGTAGGTCAGTAATGGTGTGGGGTGGCATTTCTTTAGGGGGCCACACAGCCCTGCCTGTGCTTGCCAGAGGTAGCCTGACTGCCATTAGGTACCGAGCTGAGATCCTTAGACTCCTTGTGAGACCATATGCTGGTGCGGTTGGCCCTGGGTTCCTCCTAATGCAACACAATGCTAGACCTCATGTGGCTGGAGTGTGTCAGCAGTTCCTGCAAGACGAAGGCATTGATGCTATGGACTGGCCCGCCTGTTCCCTAGACCTGAATCCAATTGAGCACATCTGGGTCATCATGTCTCGCTCCATCCACCAACGACACGTTGCACTACAGACTGTCCAGGAGTTGCGGGATGCTTTAGTCCAGGTGTGGGAGGAGATCCCTCAGGAGAGGGATCACCCCATCAGGAGCATGCCCAGGCATTGTAGGGAGGTCATACAGGCACGTGGAGCCACACACACTACTGAGCCTCATTTTGACTTGTTTTAAGGACATTACATCAAAGTTGGATCAGCCTGTAATGTTTTTTCCACTTTAATTTTGAGTGTAACTCCAAATCCAGACCTCCATGGGTTGCTAAATTTGATTTCCATTGATAATTTTTGTGTGATTTTGTTGTCAGCACATTCAACTATGTAATGAATGAAGTATTTAATAATATTTCATTCATTCAGATCTAGGATGTGTTATTTTTGTGTTCCCTTTATTTTTTTGAGCAATATATAAGACTGGCCTGGAAAAGCAGTTAATGAAATTTACTTATTTATTTATTTAGCATATGGCAAATGCATGGACTTATAGTGTTTCAAATGTCAATGTCCAGTCCATCCAGCCATTCAAGGACAGGATGGTCTATGTGAAAAAAAATCAGACATTGGGCCGGTGTAAGCTCAATGGACATTCGGACACAATGTGATGGATATTTTGTTGAGGAGCGCCACAGACAACATGTTATGTACGGATCCTGTTCAAAGTTGACCAATGCTGGCGAGGAAGGTCAAAACCTGGCACCTTTTGTGTAGGGTCATCTATGTAACTGCCTGTATCTAGGCATTCAGCAACCCTGAGTGTTGATGTCAAAGTTGTTAGTTCTTGAGCAAGTGCCAGAGAGGGCTTCCTGGTTTTAAGCCTGCCAATCGATAGATGAGGAAGATCAGTGTGCACAGGAAAATGTAGGTTTCTCATAATTTTGTTGTACTTCTTCACTAAGGCTTCCTGCCTTCATAGAGCTGGTGGTGTAGTGTGGCTCAAGACGGGGAGCCAGCAGTAAAAATAGCAAAGTTACAATAGTTTAACTACTGTCTTTTGGATTGGGGCAATTAATCATCCTAATCTGTTATTAATCTCTATGTAGCTATTTTTCTTTGGTTTTGGAATTTAGTTGCTGTGCTGATTTCCATAATTGCAAAATGGAAATGAATTTCCCCTTAAATAACTATATTTGTCTGGGGACATAATACTTCAACATTTATGTGTATGCAAATTTAGGATTATGGGGAAGACTGACAGTTGTTAGGTAAATATTAATAACACTATGGAAAAAAGCAGTTTTTGCAACTGCATTGTATAAATATATAATGTTTATGTTTGCAAAATGTTGGGAAATGTTTTATCTAAACTCTGGGAATGGCAGTTTTATATATATGTGGATCTTTCTTTACTGATGGATAATTTCAGTTCTATTACAAAATATTGTTAAGTTTTAGAGCCAGAAGACTTTGGTCTGAAGTAATCAGAATATAGGTCCCACTTTACTGCAGCCTGGCCTTTGATATTTTTGGAGGATCTGGCCAATGGGTAAGGCTCTGGGGATCTTAGTGTAGGCCCTATCTGTTTGATGTGAGGAAGCATTCAGTAATTTGAGGGTAAACCTCATCGCTATCTAGAAAAGTGAAGTTTACAGAGCTACATACTGCTTTTAATATCTTTGATAAAGCTTAAGTCTCATCACTATAGTTTGGATAGATGGTTATTACATAGGTCATTCTGTGCTAAGGGCGAATAGTAAATACATAGCAATAGTTCAGGAACAATCTTTCCTATCACATGGTTTAGAGGCAAATTTTCATTCCTCTTAATCTTCTCTGTTGTTGAATGGTATTGGTTAAATTTGATGTATCCTTAGAGTGTTTTATTGACATTTGATGCTTATATTTTGCCCTCTTATTTTTTTAACCATCTTCGTTATTTATCTTCCAGATTAGTGTCAATTAAAATAAAAATAAAAGTTGCTATTATGATCAGCAACATTCTTAGTGCACATGGTTACTTTAGCAGAGTTGGGCAGGCATTAAACATTTTCTCTGTTCCCCCAAAATATTCTAGCATAACTTGTTGGTTATGGATGCATATCGGTGTGTACTGTATTGCACTGTATTGCACTGTTTAAGGATTATTCTGTATCAGAATGCAAACTATTCCAGGTGTTTATCAGACATTTGAATACAGTGCTTTACAATTCAAAAAAATTCCCTGGAGATATTACAGTTAAACCAAAACCAATATAAAATAGCTATATTTTAATTGGCAGGGGAAACAAATATTTCAAATCAAACTAAAATATAAGTAAGGAGGAAAGGCTGACCAAGTTAATATGCTCTCTGAAGGCAGGGCTATTCAACTGTTTGTCACAGTAGAGAAGAGTGATATTATCTTAACCAGTGATTATGGAAAGTTTTCCTTTATCTCTGTGTGTCATCCCTGTCCTTCTTCAAAGATATAAAGTCTTCAGAATCATTTGGGTGGCATCTGGAGTTACAGAGAAGAGAGTGTTATTAGAAATTGTCACGTACTTCTAATAAGAGCGTCTGTCAGAATGAAGAAGGATCGGTGGTGGGATAACAATTAAATATAATTTACTTGGTATGTTTTGTATGGTTGTATGTTTTCAGTACTGTGCAGTGAATGTACATATGAGGATGTACAATTAGATACAGTATGAAAAAACTTTATAGGAAAAATGATCTGGAAGTTTGAATGCCAGAACTGGATCCTTCCCTAAGTAGAGAGGAAAGTTTCTGTCCCTGTCTTCCTACAGAGAACATAGTACTTGATTGAAGTTGTTCCTCTTTGCATCTTTCTTAGTGAAAGAGAGGGAAAAGCATGGAAGAATCCAGGATATTCTGATTGGAGGAGGAGGGCATATGAGCAATCGGGGGACCTGATTTCCTTTTTATAGCTTTGGCAAAATTCCTTATCCCAGCTCAGAAAGCATTGGACAACACTTATTCCTGCTGAGATTCATTTTTTGAAGAAAGGAAAAATTAGATATTTGAACAAGAATTTGCTATCTAAACATTTCTGAGAGAAAATACATACAAATATATTGGTTGAAAATGCAAGCTATAATATGAGTGTTACCATTCCAGGGAGGTGGAGTAGGCAACCTTTTAGAGACCGAAGGCTGCACATAATATTTTTTCGAGAAGATTCAGAGAGATCCGAGAGATCCAGAGAATTGAAGAATAGCACTAGGAAGATAAGGCTACCTTTTAATTGTGTGGTGTTGTTTAAAAATAACTCTTTTAAGCCTATTGTAGAATTTGCACAACTGTTTTATGTATTTCCTTCAGGATCAGAGAAATTGTGTCATTGATTTTAATCAATATTGGACACAAAAGGATTGTAATCTCAAAATTTCCTTAGAGCACATGAGTGTTGTACTAAATTAAAGCTTGTATATTTTCTTCTTCAGGATCATAGAGAGGAAATAACTTGTGTGTCATTCAATTGGAATGATTGCTATGTTGCCTCAGGATCCATGAGTGGTGAAATTATCCTGCATAGTATTGCTACAAATCTATCCAGCACTCCATTTGGTCATGGAACTACGCAGGTATGTATCAGTGACATAGCAATCTGTTCCTAGTGGCATGAATAGATTCTATTGTAATCTTACAGAAGGTATACAACTTGAGCACCGAATTTATACACAACTATCATAGTCTATAATTTGTGACAAAAAGGGATAACACTACGTACATAAATGGAAAGTTGGTTGGTTCTATTTACTTTTAATTGAATAAAACTTACAGGGTAATATGTATGAAAATGTGGAATCCTTTAGTTACATTAGCAGAAAATTAGATGCTAATGGTATAACCTATTTTTAGGTATATTATTGCATCTTTCTTTTTACAAGAATGTTTTGTTTTGTTTTTAGTAACCTGAACAAACTAAATATTACATGGTACAACTTTGCAAAAGATATGATAGTGGCATTGTGTTCATTAAAAGCAAAAGCCCATTTTGAAGAAACTGATGTTTTTGATTCATAGTTATCACCCATCAGTTATATCAATGCAAACTTTTTAATAGTCAGTTTACACTTTTTAAAAAGCCACCTCATAGCAGAGCTAATAAAGTTGTCATTGCTTGCTTTATGTGCGGCTTATTTGGGAAATTGTGTCTGA